TTTCGAAATTAATAGTCTTCATTATCATTAAAAAAACCTGCCGTCAAGGTCACAACTCGTTCACTTAACATTGTAACATTTTACTGAAGGCTATACTTAGGTACCAAGAAGGCAGGAGAGCAGCATAACACATCGTTCTAATAATAAAGGTGAAAACAATTTTCGAAATTAATAGTCTTCATTAGCATTGAAAAAACCTGCCGTCAAGGTCAAAAATCGTTCTCTCGACGTTGTAGCATTTTACTATAGGCTATACTTAGATACCAAAAAGGCTGAGAGCAGCATGTACATCGTTATAGAAATACAAGGTGAAGACAATTTTCGAAATTAATAGTTTTCATTAGCATTGAAAAAACCTACCGTCAAGGTCAAAAATCGTTCACTCGACATTGTAACATTTTACTATAGGCTATACTTAGATACCAAAAAGGCTGAGAGCACCATATACATCGTTATAGAAATACAAGGTGAAGACAATTTTCGAAATTAATGGTTTTCATTAGCATTGAAAAAACCTGCCGTCAAAGTCAAAAATCGTTCTCTCGACGTTGTAACATTTTACTATAGGCTATACTTAGATACCAAAAAGGCTGAGAGCAGCATATACATCGTTATAATAATACAAGGTGAAAACAATTTTCGAAATTAATATTCTTCATAAGCATTGAAAAAACCTCCCGTCAAGGTCAAAAATCGTTCTCTCGACATTGTAACATTTTACTATAGGCTATACTTAGATACCAAAAAGGCAGAGTGCAGCATAACATATCGCTTGAAAAATACAAGGTGAAGACAATTTTAAAAATTAATAGTCTTCATTAGAATTGAAAGAACCTGCCGTCAAGGTCAAAAATCGTTCTCTAGACATTGTAACATTTTACTATAGGCTATACTTAGATACCAAAAAGGCTGAGAGCAGCATATACATCGTTATAGAAATACAAGGTGAAGACAATTTTCGAAATTAATAGTTTTCATTAGCATTGAAAAAACCTACCGTCAAGGTCACAAATCGTTCACTCGACATTGTAACATTTTACTGTAGGGTATACTTAGGTACCAAGAAGGCAGAGAGCAGCATAACACATCGTTATAATAATACAAGGTGAAAACAATTTTCGAAATTAATATTCTTCATTAGCATTGAAAAAACCTGCCGTCAAGGTCAATAATCGTTCTCTCGACGTTGTAACATTTTACTATAGGCTATACTTAGATACCAAAAAGGCTGAGAGCAGCATATACATCGTTATAGAAATACAAGGTGAAGACAATTTTCGAAATTAATAGTTTTCATTAGCATTGAAAAAACCTACCGTCAAGGTCAAAAATCGTTCTCTCGATATTGTAACATTTTACTATAGGCTATACTTAGATACCAAAAAGGCTGAGAGCAGCATATACATCGTTATAGAAATACAAGGTGAAGACAATTTTCGAAATTAATAGTCTTCATTAGCATTGAAAAAACCTGTCCTCAAGGTCACAGATGATCGTTCTCTCGACATTGTAACATTTTACTATAGGCTATACTTAGGTACCAAAAAGGCAGGGTGCAGCATAACATATCGCTTGAAATATACAAGGTAAAGACAATTCTAGAAATTAATAGTCTTCATTAGAATTGAAAGAACCTGCTGTCAAGGTCACAGATCGTTCTCTCGACATTGTAGCATCCTACTATAGGCTATACTTAGGTACCAAACAGGCAGAAAACAGCATAACACATCGTTATGAAAATACAAGGTGAAGATAATTTTCGAAATTAGTCATTAGCATTAAAAAAACCTACCGTCAAGGTCACAAATCGTTCTCTTGTATTTCGGGACTCGTTTGCTCAACTGCAGTATACTTTGATGCTACCTGAAAAAGCAGCCCTCATTAAAGATTGATAGACACGCAATTAAACCAAATAATGAGACGCTTAACAGGGATGAGTCTACTGGTTACCATTCCTAAGTCAAATTCCAAGATCACTTCTGGGTAGATCCAAAGTTTTAGTAAGAGAATACACTTGTCCAAAATCAGAGACTCCCCCATGAAGCTATTGCAGATGTAAAGACCAGCGGGGTCCGTTCTAAATAACCTCCTCTTAGAAGACTAAAACACCTACACCTCAATGGTTCTGAACTATTAGGCATCTGGAAGCACGATTGGATAGTCTCAAGTACTGTCACTCTCTCGGTGGATACAATACCATTTTCCAGGCGGAAATCTTTGCGATTCTGGCTTGTGTATCTCACATTCTGGAGGAGGGTGGGCCTAGGAGAAGAATAACAGTCTTAACCCACAGCCAGGCTGCAATGAAAGCACTAAGTGCCTGTAAGATTACTTCGAGTCTTGTATTGCAATGCAGGGAGGCTCTGGATTGCCTTGCAGCGAGGCATCCGGTATCGTTAATATGGGTACCGGGGCACGCTGGGATAAGGGGCAATGAGACGGCAGACACTCTGGCGAAAACAGGATCAGCCAGCAAGCTCGTTGGTCCTGAGCCAGCTCTAGGAGTGACCGCGCATAAAGCTAGGAGGAAAATGGAGACGTGGGTTGCAAGACAACACTCTCAGAAATGGAGAAGTATCTCCAGACATCTCCGCCAGGCACGAGAACTCATTGAAGGGCCCAGTGCTAAGGATGGACGCTTCTGCCTATCTCTGGATAGAGCCAACCTAAGGTTGCTGGTGGGACTGCTGTCTGGCCATAACACGTTAAGGCGTCACCTGCACGTGATGGGGGTGGCTGAGGATTCCTTGTGTGAACGCTGCGGAGTAAGGGAAGAGACCTCGGCGCACGTTTTGTGTCGCTGTGAAGCTCTGAGCTACTATAGGCAGACTATACTGGGGTCCATTACTTTGGACCCTCAGGACGTCAAGGAGCTTGGACTCAAGGCGATTCTCAACTTCGCTAAAAGGGCAAGGCTTGTGATCTAAGGACTGTAGAGGTGCATAAGGGCCCGCTTAACCGGCCTATGCACTGGCTCCTTATGGTGGCCGGAATGCCTGTAATTTCAAGATTCATTCATTCATTCACTGTCACTCAGTGCCTTGTATATCGAAAAGGCTAGCTGGTTTTGACCTACCTTGAGATGAATGGTCAAGTATCAACAGAATCAAAACACAACATGGTAGATGTGCCTACAAATGGACAAAATCCCATCCCCGCAATATGATTGTGGAGGTAGTAACCAAACCATACAGCACATTGCAACTAAGTTAACCTTGTAAACACGAATGACTTCCTTCTCGCTACTCCTGAGTGGATTGGCTATATAAAAATGTAGGCATCTGTTTATGGTATATGCCTATTTGTCTACACGTGCGCTATACGCTAAATAAATAAATATTCGTTACAAAAACAAAAGCTCTGATAGCTCTTTTGAACGAATAATGTTTCAGTCTACCAAATGATGTTATTCAATTTTGTCAGTCATGGCATTACTTTTCGTTTTATGTAATATTAACTGTGATTCACGGTTTTTGTTGTAATATTGTCTCAAAACGATATAAATAGTTATTTTTCTCAAGGTTCTTAACAATCTTATGACTTTAACTTTGTGATTAGAAAAATCTTAATGTTTCGCAGAGCTTTTTTACTGTCAGAAACTTTTGCTTGAATTTTATCATTTGGAATGGTTTTCCTTCTATAATTTCAACCCCTACTGTATACGCGATCGAACGCACAAGGGGGGAGTAGACCATAAAATGAAGTTTACTGCTCGACTGCAGAAAATGAAACTGTTTTCTGTAGCCAACGTAAAGCTGAAGGGGCTGAGAAAGAAGCAGAGCTTCAAGTTCAGCTGTCGGTGAATAGATGGCGCTATTGATATTTGCTTAAACTGCTTTTTTCTAACATTGACAAGTACAAAGACAGAAAGAGGGGGGCATTCAAATTTTGGAGCGTGTACTAAATTAGCCCTTTTAATACACGTTTCACCAATTTGAAGAAGTCTGATTAACTTGAAAGTTTGCACGAGGTTCAAGGGCCGATGACAAGAAAATGGTTTTGAGAACGATTGGAAATTTTTGAAATAATTTTAAAAAAATTGGATATTAAAAAATTAAAAAAAAAATTGGAAGTAAATTCAGATTTATTGTTAAATATAAATAAATTTGGAATAAGATCATTGAAAAAATTGAGATATCAACAAAAAAAGAACAATTAAAACGGGATTATTAATGTTTCAAAAATCAGTCGGTGATAAAATAATTTGTCTATAACCATTATAGTTGTATTTGTTTAATATGTTTTAGGACTGCTATCTTGAGTCTGAAGTAACAGGCAGAAAGAAAATTTGGGAAGGGTTGGAAATAATTAGGCCGTTTTCGTTATACAAGGTTTCCAGAGTTGTTTTTTTTTTATAGTATTGACTGCCATTGAGTCGGTAAAAACTATTATTTTAATGCATTTTATGCTCTTTTTTGAAAACTCTCAATCCTGGAAACAGCTTGTATGAGTAGTCAATGTCAATTTATTAATTCCTTGTTATAAAAACAGGGCGCCTACTTTTGCCTAATTCTATGAACTATGATACATAAAAAGTAAGAACAACACGAAAGTAAAATAGTGAAATCAATTATTTTTTAAACCTTTAATATAGATTACTAGCTACAATTTCTGATTTGAGCAGAAATTATAAACTACCTCTAAAAAACAGACCGTAATTGGAATATTATCGCTACAAATTGCGATCAAAATGTTTATACAGTGCTTTTCAAAAAACACCTTTTCCAACTTTGTTACATATATTGTTTGAACGGGTCAAGTTAGCAAGCCCAAATTCGAGGTGATAAAATAGTGGCAAGGACACTACTTTAACGTAAAAATGACACTAAAAAATCGTGGAACTTTTTTTAAACAGAATGAGAGGTCATGCGAAGTATTATTTTGGAGCTCCTCATCTGTGCTCAATGACCTATAAATATACCATCTTCCAATGAGGCGAACTAGCGAGCTGTCGAAGATGAGAGTTTTTTGGACACTGAAGAGCCTTTACCTCCAAAACTAACATCAAAACTTTATATGTTATGTCAATCTTCTTCATTTGGAAGAGGGTATCTGAATGTGCGATAGAATGCATGATAATCAATTTAGGAGAAAATTGGCAGATTTGAACTTTTTCTTAACGGAATAGTCTATATTCTATTACATGTTCGGCACGGGTATCATGCAAAAAACCAATATAACGTAAAAAAAACTAGAAAATGTCATCTTGTAGACTAGGTAGTTCTTAGGATGCAAACAGTCATTCCACGTTTGCTCACTAGAATCCTTGTGAGCGTCCATCTATGGAGGAATGGCTCAACTACACGCATTGTTGGTTGCATATGATTTGTGAAGTCGAGTAGTCTGTACTTTCATTTCTGAGAAGAAAGTTGGTTGATTAGCAATCTCCATCTGGATGATCGTGTGTATTGGTCTGCATGTGTATAAAATAGGTGATATTAAATAAGTGTAGTTGAGACAAGAATCGAATGAAATTGTTACCAACACATATTATTAGCACAAAAATCCTCACTATGCACCTATGCATTGCCGTTTCCTTCTGACTATAGTATACAACTTACAGCTTAGATTTTTTTTTATACTCCAACTACCACGAAGGCCTAAGGCCTAAGCACCCATTGGGTACCGTGGGGCTATAGGGGGATACATGGAAAGGGGGACGCCACACGGACTCTGGCGACGGAACACGTGTGCATGCAACATGCACACATTCTGGCTCCGCCTTCGAGATCCTCCGGGTGGCACCTCCGCGTTCGACAGTCGGAGACCATCCACCACCTACGGACAATCACAACATCCATAGCCAAGAGAAAATTTTCTCCTGGGACGGGACTCGAACCCGCACAGCGCACGGCGCCTGATCAGGAGACCGAAGAGTCTACTACTGCGGCCACCGCTGCTGCCTCCAGTAATGCCATCTCTGAAGCAGATTTTACATCACATCAGAGCCAAACATTGATAACTGAAGCATCATGACGTATAGGCAACACGTACAACTACAAAACGAGTGTCCATCAGCCAGTGCTAAGTTAACATCTTGTAGAAAAACTATAGCATTTTGTTTATTGGTTGCCGAGTTATAAGGGAGTCAATGTAAAGAAACGCTCAAGATAATGTTTTTGTATTCTAAAGTGTATCTAACGAAGCTACAAAGTAATCGTAAACAGTGGTTGATTCGTGATCAACGCGTGATCGGTAGCCATGGCGCTCTGTCGGCCTCTTCCTGATTGGCTTGTAGCGACGAGCCTCCAGACAAAGTCGCACGGTTGCCACGCTCGGCGAGTTTTCGCCAGAGTGGTTGATCACATTCGCATGGATCACAAATCAATCTGTTGGTGCAATCCGTGCAATAACTGTTGTAAAGGACATTATATAACAATAAATGGCATCACAAAGGTATATTCCAATTTGATCTGCAGCAAATTATGTTACGGCATATACGGAGATGCGAAAACAAGCTCAAAAAGGTGAAGAAAATTTTTGTGCAATCTTTATAGTTAAATTTTTCCTAAGAGATAGCATCAGTGAGGGAATTTTTTTCTATTGTCTTATTTTTCACATTAATGCGATGTCGAGGTATGTGGCCCTATCGCAATTGAAAATAAGGTTTCGATAATCCTTCCATAAAGTTTCGATGAGTACATCTGCATAACCTTGAGATATTCTTCAGGGAAATACAAAAATCTCCTTTTGTGTTTTTTTGTGCAGATTTATCTATTAAAATCCTATCCGCAATCTATTTTCCGTGCACACACCTTCAACCGAATGTATGCCATATATGATATTACCGTTTCCAGCTTTCACCAAGGCTAATAGGAACCATAACAGCTCCCTACCCTTCCCCCTATAAGAATATCGATTTATAGCCTCACATTTCAAGGTTAGACTTCTTGTAATGTTTCTGTTCAACATTCGGCGATTTCTGACAATTTTCCCAATAAAACATGATCATTGTGACATTAAGCCTGGCAACGCTGCATAGTAGAGGGAACTCTCAGCGTCACGTTGATGGTTTGTCACCACGCACAGGATTGTAATCAGTTACGGATACCCGTTTATGAGCGCGAACGTTTTATGCACGTCTTGACTTGATTTTTCTTGCGGAAATTTAATATTAGTCTAAAATGTCTGACACAGATACAGCTGATGAAGTGGTTGAAATCAGCTTAACGCCACCCAGCAAAAGGGCTAAAAAGCTTCATCTTAGCGCAGGTGAAAAACAAATTATTCTAAATATCTACAAGAACCAGATGCAAGAGAATAGTGGATTGGCTATAGAAAATATCGTATGTAAGGTTGCTGAAATTTCTGGAGTAGGTCGATCAAGTGTTTATAAAATCTTGAAGGAATATAGACAAAATCACTCACTATCTGAACCAAAAACATATCCAGCGAGAAAAAAAATCATCGAAAAAATAGATGACTTTGACAAAAGTGCCATTAGAAGAAAAGTACATCACTTTTTCTTCAGGAATGAAATACCTACAATAGATAAAATATTGAAGCAAGTGGATGATGATGAGGACCTGCCAAATTTTAAAAGATCTACGTTCCATAAGCTGTTGAAAGAACTAGACTTTCGATTTTTGAAAAGAGGAAGGAATAGTTTATTGATAGAAAAGGAGGAAATTGTTATCTGGAGGAGAGAATACCTTAGAAAAATTAGGCAATTCCGCGCTGAAGGAAGAAAAATTTATTATTTAGACGAAACATGGGTGAACGCGGGGCATACGCAGGGAAAGGTTTGGCTAGACAGATCTGTGAGGTCCTCAACGCAGGCTTTTTTAGATGGCCTTTCGACGGGATTGAAAAATCCTGCAGGTAAGTTTCGAAGTATACATATGAACTTTTTTGGATGCAGATAATTCATTTTCTGATCGAATCAATGATTTGGAAGCTCCGAACTCAGTTTTGCTATCTCATCCAAGTTTCTAAGTATTTCCTTCACCCAAAAACTAATCTAAGACCCTATCCTACACTAACCTAAAAAGAGTAAGTTGCTTAATTTCGTCATTTAGTGCGCTCGCTGAGAAGTAAAATAACTAATTACTTTCAGGCAAGGGAAAACGCCTGATCATTTGCCACATAGGTAGCGTAGATGGATTTGTTCCTGAAGCATTGTGGGCATTTGAATCCAAAAAAACTGGAGACTATCACGGAGAAATGGATGGCAACTCATTTGAAAATTGGTTCAAAAAAATTTTGCCGACACTTGATGATAACGCAATTATTGTGATGGATAATGCCCCGTACCACTCCAGAAAATTGGAAAAAATTCCAACAATGGCCACCAAAAAGGCAGACATTCAACAGTGGCTTGTCTCAAAGAAGATCGACTTCAACCAAACAATGGTCAAAGCTGAGCTGATAAATATAGTCAAGCGACATAAGTATAAATATGATTTAAAAATTGTTGACGAAATGGCCAAAAACCAAAATAAAACGATTCTCAGGCTGCCTCCCTATCACTGCGAACTGAATCCTATCGAGTTGATTTGGGCCGACATCAAGCAATACGTGGCGTCAAATAACAGCACTTTTAAGTTTTCTGACCTTAAAACACTGTTTGATGTTGCTGTCGATAGAATTACGCCAGCAAAATGGAGAACATGTATTGACCATGTCCAAGAGAAGGTTGAAACCAAAATGTGGGATATGGACAATATTATTGACACCCAAGTTGATCCCCTTATAATTGATATCAACAATTCTGATGATTCAAGCTCCTCGGAATACAGCATATAAATCGATTGATACCATTAAGACTGGCAGTTTAACCGGCTTTTTGGCAAGACAGGTAAGTTCATTATAGACTGCAATCAAAGTGTAAGTTTCTTGTTATTAATGTGGAAATTCCAAATTTATAATTACACAAAATTAGGGTTAATTTAGGAGTTCCAAAGCATAATAGTGCCATTTTGACCTTCTTCCTATTTCTCATGTAAATTTTAATAGCAATCAAACTAACAAACTTTATGGAGTCTGTAATAAACTTTTGTACTACTACTACTACGTCTGTAGTTTCTATTTGCTCAAAAAAATTTGCTCTGCATTGTGAATAGAAGGTTGATTTGTAAATATTATTGGGTATATATGTAAGCTAATAATAAAATATGAACAATTTCAATTGAGATGGTCCACAAGTTTTTTTCGTGTGCGTTTTAGTAACATTTTGCTGAAATGGTGAATACAGAATTTTTTGCACTGATTCCTAATGTCGAAATATGATTAGAAAGGCGTGGTATATTCCTGATAATTTACTATGCTTTTGATAGAATTTACAGCAACACATATCTTGTACGACATTTTTTGATAGATCAGTCACAATAGCTTGATACGGCCCTGTAGCGTCTCCTACGGTTAAGTTCTTGATCACGTGCAATACGGGTGTATATGTTTGATTTTACTTTGTTTCTTCGATGGATACAGTTTAGAAGTGCTCATAAGTAGCTTCAAAATAAGGTCCGACGTGACCCACTATTCCATGTGACAAATTTGCCTGTCTATAATTCATGAAAAAACCTCATTATCTTGAATTTCGCCTTGCTAACTTGACCCGTTCAAAAACAAGTATGGAGAGCTTTTTAAAAAACACTGTATATTACATACGCAAACCATTTTTTAATAAAAAAGTAGGAAAATATAGAAAGTAGTATATATACAATGCAACATAGGTATCCAAGTAGAAATCTTAATTGTCCAGATATGGAAGATGTGGGTGTCTCCCGAAAATTGAAAGAACATGTCAAGTATCATTGAATAACACTAATATTTTAAGTTTTCTCATGTTATTGATTTTTGAGAATGATGGGGAAAGTACTAACATTCACCTAATGGTGCATATAAGCATGCAATAGAGTAGCCTGTAATATATGGCAATATTAATACGAGGGATGTCTTTTAAGTTCTGCATATAGAAACATAGTAGGCCGCGCGGATCGAACGTCAGTACTGAATCTTAACCTCGTTCTTTAGTAAGCTTAAATTCAAAGTTTTACAACAATATGTGCAGCGTTCTCACTACAGTGAATTTTTAAGTATCACCAAGTTATTAGAAAAACGGAACTCAACCGAGAACATTTTCCCGCCATAATTTATTACAACCTTCAGAGAGAATTATCGCAACAAGAATGCCTTGCTGGGTTACTGTCTGTTTGTCTGTTTTCGGCAACGAAGCGCCACATCAGTCGACAATTTCCCGTTGGTATGGAGAATTCAAACGTGGACGGGTGAGTCTGTGCGACGATCCCACGGTGGGTGCACCAAAAACGGCAGTCACCCAGGAAAACTGTGCGCAAACTCATAATTGAAGATAGACATGTGACATATCGCGAGATTGAGGCGTCCTTGAAGATCTCAAAGACCTCAATTCAAAAAATTTTACATGAAGAATTAGGAGTAAGAATATTAGTTTCTCGTTGGATACCCCACCTGTTGATTGAAGAGCTGAAAGCAGCCAGGGTTAATTGGTGTCAAAAAACGCTTAACCGTTTCAATTCCGGAAACTCAAAAAATGTGTACAGCATTGTTAGTGGTGATGAATCGTGGATTTACTGTTATGAACCAGAAAATAAACGACAGTCGGCTGTTTGGGTGTTCCAAGGTGAAGAAAAGCTAACAAAAACCATTCGTTCTCGAAGTGTTTCGAAAAAGATGGTCGCGACATTTGTGTCAAAAGCGGGTCATATTGCAACAATTCCTCTTAATGAGCAAAGAACTGTTATTGCGGATTGGTATACCACCATTTGTTTGCCAAATGTCATCACCGAGCTTCGAAAAATCAACCCCGAAAGAAGAATCATTCTCCACCAAGACAATGGAAGCTCGCACACAGCCCAAAAAACAAGGCAGTATTTAACGGAAGAAAACGTGGAATTATTGGACCATCCTCCATATAGTCTGGGTCTAAGTCCTAACGATTCCTTTACTTTCCCGAAAATTAAAAACAGACTGCGTGGTCAAAGGTTCCAGTTCCAGAAGAAGCAGTTGGTGTATTCAAAAATGCCGTTTTGGATCTGCCAGCAAACGAGTGGAATAAGGCTTCGAAAATGCAGATGTGTATGAATCTTCTTTATTTCCATATGCAAAACTTGAAAGACATCCCTCGTATGGCCTGGCAATGCTGCTATACATGTTTAACAATTTCGACCTGTTTTCATTTATTGCTGTCAGATTGCCGAACTATTGGAATCCTACCTAATGTAATGTAATGATAATATGTCGCTATCATTTCACCATTCATTCCTGCCCTTTAGATAAGAAATTCTAGAAAGTGTATATATAGCCAGACTATATGCCGCACTATAGTGCTACA